GTTATATCACTGCTATCAAAAAAGGTAGCAAGGAACTAAGACCATGCTAATAAGCTGACAGCTCAGGCATGGCTTCAATAGCGAAAGAAGTTCTTTCTGGGATTTTAAAAATGAAAGTTGTTAACCTTCCTGCCCATCTGATTGAAATTCGCCATTCATTCATTAACGGTCTTGCCCCTAAAAAAGAGGTGATCCAGCCGCACCTTCCAGTATGGTTACAAGGCATTTTAACGTTCTCACTTTTTCCTTCGGACCGCAGCGCAACGACTAGGACTCGTGTCAGAGGACATTTGATCACCTACAACCCTTTCCTCTGTCGGGGACTTCCATAAAATGAAAACGGGTGGCTGCTGATTATATCTTCCAAATCGTCTACACTAAGAATCCATCTTTTCGAGGGATGTAGGGCTCTTATTGACTAAAAGTGGGTATAGGGGGAAATATTGGGCCTTAAATTGCCTTGAATAAGCCATCTTCCTATCAAGGTTAAGGAGTCAGATCCTTTCTGAACCCCCCTATGACCGCTATCAAAGAGAAGCTTTTTCCAAGTCAAGGGAAGATTCTAAAGGTGATGACGACTTTGTGGTTCAAGAAGAAAACTTAAAGAAAAAGGTGAAAAGTGTCAAAATAGCTGCTAAGGGAAGAAAAGATAATGTCAAAGGTCCGATTAAAACCCATCTTACTCTTCGTACTAGAACATCTCCTATACCCCTTTACACAACAATTCAAAATCTATCCACATCACAAATAAAGTGTGTAAAGAAAATGGGGTTTACAAGCCTCCTGAACATGAAGATAGACGGTATCTTGCAAAGATTGGCTATTATGTAGTTGATTCTTTCGACCCTCAAAACATGTTGATTAAACTCGAAAACGGTGTGATCCCAATCAAGGTAAAAAAAATACATGATGTGATTGGTGCACCGTTTGGGGGAGATACTTTGGATACTTTAGTTAATGACAATTGCGAAGTTAGTGTAGTAGACCAATGGAAAAGCCGATATTCGAAGCAGTCCTTACGTGTCACAACTATAGTAAGCAAGATTATCACCTCAAATAATGTTGATTGGAATTTCAAGCTAGACTTCATAATGGTCTTCTACAATGTAATAGGCCAATGCAAATCGAACGACATTTGTGACCTAAGCGTTCTTTCATATTTATCACAAAAGAGTTGCTTCGCAGAAATCGATTAGTGTGACTATGTCTTCAAATGTTTAAAGATAAGCAAAACCATATGGAAGTCAGTCCTAATAGAGTGTTACTACAGTGGCCCGTTAAGTACATTGATGGTATGTCCACATATCACATTTTAATATATATATATATATATATATATATATATATGTGTGTGTGTGTGTGTGTGTGGATATTTAATATCAATGGATATTTATTATGAATGAATAATCGCGAAATATAAACTGTGACGGAAATTTTACTTCATGCACTTTTAAATGACGCTTTTGTACGTCGACACCATTCAATGTGATTTTGTGCACATCATACGAGAAAGATCATGCATTGCAAGTTGGTCAATGGACATTTTAAGAAGACGAGAAGCAATAGAAATTTCTACCGGTTGTTTTGAAATTGGGATGTCGTAAAACAATTTATTGATGCACAACGTGATGATAGCTCTAGAGAAAACGAAGAAAGTAACATTAAGGTAAAGATGATGACACACTTATTTGCATTGTTTTATATTTTAATCAAATCAATATTTTGAACCAATTAATATATCTTACTTATCACATGATTATCACAACTTACTTATCACATATATCCACCCTAGTTATCACATAATTTTCATAAACTAACAAATAAAATCACTTATTTGCATTATTTTATATTTTAATTAAATCAATATTTTGAACCAATTAATGTATCTTATTTATCACGTGATTATCACAGCATACTTGTCACATATATCCACCAAAGTTATCACATGATTATCATAACTTACTTATCACATGATTATCACATTTTACTTAGGATTTATTCACAATGTCTAATGCATATAAGTTTTGGATTGCTTGCTTATCACATAGTTATCACAATCATGTTAGGATAAATTAAAAACAAACCAAATTGTTTAATTTGATATAAATTTATTTAATTCATATTTTCACTCTGTTTCTTCGATAAATATATTATTTAACTCTGTATAATTACTGGATCGGAAGAGACAGACAGAAATTTTGGGACAAAAGATTCGTATATTGATGAATCATGAGTCAGATTAGCTTAAAATCTAACAAAAAAAAGCCAAAAAAATGTTTTTTTAATAAAAAAAAAGGTAATTATTTTAGACACAACTTGCATTACAACTTAAAAATATAACATTTGAAAGTAAATAACCACCAACAAACTTGTGAATTACCAACTAACTCATCCTCAATATTTTGCAAGCGAGGTATGGGTGAAAGTGTTGATCATATCTCATAAAAATCTGATTGTTCTTGGGTATATATGTACCCAAAACATACTGTAAAATTGCTTGGTAAAAGGGAATAAGGCCGTCAAAAGCATCAGATAACACTTGAAAAGAGACGAGGTTTAATCTTCGTGGTCTTGTGCCATGCCGTTTTCCTGGTCTTGGCCCTCGCCTTCTCTCGTTCCATAATCAATCCATGGTAACATAGATTCAAACAAAACCGCCAATGCATTTCGGTTAGCAACTTCACGAGGAGCACGTGCAACATCTGGAATATTTTCTTGGTTCTCGGCAACATTATACATTTCTGCCAACCTTGGATCAATCATAAAAGTTTGCAAATTCTCTGGAGGGATAGTCGGAGTTGAATCTGAGAAATTAGATACCATCAAGTGTGAATACCTGCAAATAAATCATAATTTTCATCTAAAGGGCCATTTACCAACACAAATTACAGGTAAAGGTTTCGGTCTTGGTAAGCCCTGATTGAAAATGGTTTTGTAGCAAGTATTTTGTAGCAAGTGTTAGCCCATTGATTAGAATATGGAATCTTTTCCATGTAAACTGATTGTATAAAGCTACCGATAAATTACCTTTATCATATTGTACTGACTTGGCAAGTGAAATAATGATGTCGACTGGGTAGGTGCTTGGTTAGCACCATTAGTGAGATTGGTTTCCTAATATAAAGTATTGATCATAATTAATGAACTCTAGACATCTTCCATAAATATTCATAATAAATTAACTCTTAGCATTTTCATAAATATCTCGATTAATTGGGTTGCACTGATTGTACAAATGGACATGGTTGCATTTGAAATATACCCTACATACATATATACATACATACATACATATATATATATACACACACACACTTAGGATCACGTGAGACCAACCTGTTTTTGTGAGACTACGTTTTTGCAATTGAAACTTCACAGTAAAACACTGTGAAGGTAAAATTTTACCTTCACAGTTTTACTGTGAAGTTTCAAGTGTAAAAAAGTAGTCTCACAAGTCTCAAGAAAACCACATGGTCTCACATGATCCAAACCATATATATATATATAATATATATATATATATATATATATATAATATATATGTATATAGATTATCTTGAAAAATGTTAAATATTTAAGAAGTGATCCTAGCCTTTTGTACGGTCAAGATCGGATTTGACTGGTCAATATTTGCAGTTTTGTGAAAAATAGAGGGGTAATTTTTGTAACTTCTACAAATAGGTGGCAAACAGGTACATATGTGAACACCTGCAATTTACATATAAACTACCTAACTGGTTCACATATAAACCCATGTTTTAGCTGATTCACATATGAACTCATCTCAATTCACATATGCATTCCAATTCACATGTAGACTAACAGGTCACATGTAAACTAATTAACAAGCTCACATATGAACATATGAATCATACAAGTTTATATATTAATATGTTTGCTATTTATTTATAAAAATTACAAACCTATTAGTTTATATATAAACCTATTAACAGGTTCATATATAAACTTGCAGTCCATATGTGAACAACAGGGGTTGATATATGAATTCGTTTATTAATAAAAATTTACAAAACCATCCTCTATCTTCCAGATACTTATACGAGAATAAATTATTAACCCGATAAAAGAGTTCTCACCAGATGAACCTTTCTTACATATATAAATTTATATTAGAAGAGTACTCGCACAATGCAACGAGACACATCTCAATGTTAATGTTCTATTTAATTATTGTTTCTGTCGATGTTATAATACTATTTTATGTGTTTAAAAAAGCAATAATGATTTTATTTTTAAATAAAATATGAACTTGAAAATATCATAAAATTTTAAAAAAATATATCAATGTTAATATCAAATCAAGTATTTAAAAG